ATATATATATACTTATACGACAAATGCCTGGGCTTTGCCCCGAACCGCAACGATGATGGGGAATGACCAAGTTATAAGCCACCCTGTACCATTGACTTCGATGAAATCTGAACTCAGCACGGCTACGAACAAATTGAACCGCCTCGAGGAGGTCGCGGCCATCCTTCAAGCATTCCAGGAGATCTTCCTGGGAAGGCTATGGATTTCACCCAAACATTGGGGGACTTTGATGGTTATCAGAGCCGGATGGATTGGTTTAAGGGAAAATTGAAACAGGAAACCATCGATTTTCCCATGAAGATCATGGGGCCTTCCTGCAAAATTTCCCTTAAACCAATCCATTGATTATCATAGCCGGATGCATTGGGATTCAGCTACCCACCAGAAAGAGGTGTGATTCATGGTGAATGGGATGTAAGGGCAACGTTGATATAGCGAGATTTAAGCAACAAAACTGGTGATAAGTCTTAACACCCAAAAATGGTTTGAGAAGGTTTTTATGGTGATTTAATCAATAGAACTTGAGAATTTAGGTCTAAAACGTGTTATTTCATGCGACTTAAGCAACAAACATATGGTTGTGGTGATTTAATGGGATTTGGCAACATGACAATTTGATGGGAATTATCCAAAAAATCCATGGTATCAAAACAATATCCATCTTTTCAACGTTTCGATTTTCCAGTCACACTTTTCAACTACTTTTAAAGGATGACATGGGATTAAGAAAAACACCCATTCTACTATATATATATATATGTAATTAAAAAACCATCAATGACAAAAGATGATATATGGATATATAATGATATATATATATGTATGGCTATGCTTAATTTTGGGAAACCCGATTTTTCCAAAGAAACCTGAATTGGCGGTGAACGAACTAGTGCAACAGAAATATCCAATCCTATCATAACAACAACAATCAGCAGCGCTTCATTCGTGACGAAGGGAGGGACAAAAATGTGGGAATTTCTGGGATTTACTGACGGTTAATGGTAGTTTAATGGAATTAATGATGATTTATACTGTTTGGTGGTTGAGCCCTACCCCTCTGAAAAATCATGGAGTTCGTCAGTTGGGATGATGGCATTCCCAATTAACATGGGGGAAAAAAGTTCCGAACCACCTACCAGTAATAGACATATCAATTTTTGATCAAATATTTATCAGCATATCTATCATTGAACCCATCATATCCACAAAATGCTTGATACCCCAACTTCGTCTCATCTTCCAACTGATCTCCCATCAAGACTATCCTCCCTCAAATTATCATTTCTTGATTTGGAGATAGGTCAAAACCTAGTTTGGATACTTCTGGGGGATGAACATCCATAAATCCCAGCTGTTTTAGGCTTCACCGTAAGGGTTTTGACCAGCCAAAAACTTCATGGCCTCATCGACCTCGCCGCTTCGCAAGAGCTTCATCAAATCCTGCGAGAAAATTTGAAGGTTTGAAATGGAGATATCACCTAAAACTGGAGATTTCAACCGGACTTCGGTTAGTTATGGTGACTTAGTTGGACTTTCACCGAAAACTGCTGATTTATGATGATTTTTGCCTTCAACCAACAAATATCGGGGCTTCAACGGAAACGATTGGTAGATGTGCGATCAAAAGGTTTACTGGGGCAACTGTTCTAATCCACAAACCCAAAAACCTGGGCAATTCTTGGATAGCTACAATTTCTGGGAACATTTTGGGATTTCGTCTTCTTGATGGATATTGGAGAGTTTCTAATGGAGAAACCACGGATTTGGGTGACCCCAAGGTTGAGAAACAGCTCATATATGGGAACTTTTCAGTTCGATGGAAAGGTATAAGACAGTGCCGAGACTTGTTATGACTTCTTGTTTTAGCTGGATGTTCTTTCTCGCTATGGATGGCTTTAGACATTAACCCATTGTCACCAAAGTTCCCTACCCTTCATTGTGGTTCATAATTTCAAGAGCTACCCCATCTAGACCAATATCATTGATGAGTGAAACCTCCATTTTTGGTGGTAGAATTCTCCCAACCCTACAACCCTACACCACCATTCATCCAGCTTCCCCTCCTGTCGCCCCTCAAACGGCTTGGCGAAGGCGACGCGATTCACACCTTTGCTGTGACCTATCGGACCTATGGCGCAGGAAAACTTGGCTGGTTCTTGGCTGTCCATGGTTTGATGACAGCTTCATCAACTCCCATATGTCATATGGCTGTTGTCCACATCTGGCAACTCTGACATATCTGAAATTCCAGCTAGATGTACACTTGCATCTGGCGGGTGAGGATGTGGACATGCTTGAAACACTGCTTCAACATCTTTGCTACCCATGGAGGCCTTTTTCTGAACCAATTCTGCGAAGTGCAATCCAAACGGGTCCCAAACACGTGGCGTGAGAAATGCTGCCGGTTAGAACTTCTGTGAACCTTCGGAAGAACCGCCAAACCCTGCTTGGGGGTGCAGTTGTATTTGGCTATATTTATTTATGTATATAATATATACATAAACAATTATATACATATATACAATATATACATATATGCCATATATATATATATATATATATCTGATTGTAGAGGTTATACATATCCGAACTTATGGAGGTTCAAATCCGATGGTTATACCAATTTTTCCAGCTGAACTGCACCCCCAAGTGCAGAATCAGTCTTCGATTCACCAAAAGTAATCCAAGGCCACCCAGTTGCTTCTACCACTGGTTGTCTGTTTCAATTCACCCAAACCTTTCCCTATGTGGCTTGGAGGTTCATCATTCATTTCTATGGCCATTCCCACCATGAAAAAATGGGGGTTTCCCAAATCATAGGGTTAGCAAGTCAACCAAGTCGATCATGATCTGCTTGGTGGCGCAATTTCACCATCTTGAAAAATATGAGTTCGTCAATGGGAAGGATTATTATCCCATATATGGGAAAATAGTTTCAACCCCTCTGAAAAATATGAGTTCGTCAGTTGGGATGATGACATTCCTAACTGAATGGAAAAATGTTCCAAACCACCAAACAGTCTTTTTTCCCGAGAGCGTCTGAGCGAAGGGTTCTTCTAATAGTGGGGGTCTGTCAAACATTTTCACATATTCACATCTTCTCATCTTCTCATCTTCACATCCTCACATATTAACATTCTCTCTTGCCCTCTTGCCCTCTTGCTGTCTTGCCCTCTTGCTCTCTCCTTCTTTTCTATTTCTCTCTCGCAGGCGCGGGGCAGTGCCAACGAGACAGTACGAAACGCAACCCTTTCGCACGACATGAGGGTCGATCGACAAAAACTGAGGTAAAATTTCAATTTTCAAAGCGTCCGGCACAACGCTTTCGCACGAAATGAGGTTCCATCGCCAAAAACTGCAGTAAAATTGCAATTTGCAAAGCTTCCGGCGAACCCTTTCGCACGAAATGAGGTTCGATCGCCAAAGACTGAGGAAACATTACGATTTCACGGGTCCGGTCTCTATGTGTAAAAGTGTTTGTGTGTGAAAGCTTCTGTGTGTAAAAGCCTCTGTGTGTGAAAGTGTTTGTGTGTAAAAGTTTCTGTGTGTGTAAGCTTCTTGGTGTAAAAGCTTCTGTGTGTAAAAGCGTCTGTGTGTAAAAAGCGTCTGTGTGTAAAAGCATCTGTGTGCAAAAGCGTTTGTGTGTAAAAGTCTCTGCCTGCAAAAGCGTCTGTCTGAAAAAGTGCTGTGTGTGAAAAACTATACGAAAGATACGATGCAAACTATGGTACTTGTAAAATATTGTCTTGATACTACTTTTCTCGTCTGCCTATATTACATCTTTAATATATTGTCTTGTAATATAGTGTCTCCATACTAAAGAACAGAAGACTCTGCTCCTCTACGCTCTCGGGCCATCCGTCGTCTGAGGATCCGCCATGACTCGAGGTCCACCCATGGTATTTCCTCACGAGGGATCTCCTCACGATCCCCTTTTTTTGGGTGTCAATATAGTGACCGTCCCCTCCAATAGAAGGATAGTAAAACGCTATGAAATCACGATGAAATCCCAAATGCCGCATGGAAATCCCCAGAAAAAATCCAATCCTATCAAATCTCTAAGAATAACCCGATTTTAATATTCCCATTACATCAATGGGAATTCCAGGATCCTAAAATGGAGGTACTGTACCATATAGGGCAATATTGTGTGGGGATATTCCCTTACATAGGCCTTACATAGGCCTTATATATGGTAGGTACCTCCAAGTTAGGTTCCTGAAATGGCCATTGATGAGATGAGTCATCAATTGAAATGGGTCTTGATCATTGTCTTTGGACAGCGAAACAACGCCGTGAAGTCATCACGACAGTGATTTCACATCCCAAGACCAGAACCTGGCATCCCAATTGATGCCATCCTTGTCCACACAACCCCAGATATAGTGATTCTAACACCATTATAGCTACAACTTATTTTGATGTTGATCTCTGGAAAAGATGGGATTCGAAGTACATTGGTTTCCGGGAAACACACACGCAGCCCTTTTGGACACTCTTCGGCGCACCTAGTGATCAAAAGGGGTGAAACCACAAACTGCGGACGGACATCAACAAAGCCATCAACAAATCCACCCAAGAATTGCTCTGCTCTGGTAAATGATGATCATATCATCATATCTCCATGTTCATCTGTGAGCATTTCCATACCAGGACACTCAGTTTGTAACCATGAAAATGGCATACCGTCCCGCCAAACTAACACACATCTTGAGAATCAACCATTTTCAGAGGAAAGCGTCTTCTAACCCCCAACTCATGGTAGGGTCCAGCTGTTAGTTGAGGGCATGGCATCTCCATTTCCATCTGTTAACATGTCTCTACTGAGTAGACATTGACATGTCAATGGGACACAGCCCCAAAATGCAACATTTTTATCGAGATGATGATAAACCAGCCAAAAATTGAGGTACCCAATTTCCAGGCACATTCACATCTTTGCATCACAAGGCGGTGCACCCCAAGTTGTCACCAAAAAACCATAGTCGACTATATGCCATCTATAGCCAACTATAGGTCTAAACCTGCCACAGACCGGAGTTATGTTCACCAACTTAGATCGACCCATTTTTCCGTCGTCCGCCGCAGGACTTCGCGCACAGGACTTCTGGAGCTCTGCGGCGTCACCGGTGTCAACGTCCTGGCGACGGGGAGATGGCGAAGCATTCAGCCCTTGAAGAACTGAAACGAAAAATCGATGGTGTGTCTGAACGTGGATTTACATGGATAGAGACTATGATTGAATGGGAATGTGAGTTTAGAAATCATGGGAATTCCTCATGAAGTCAGAAATTGAACTCATGATGTGGATGTGTTTGATCATGAGTTTAAGCAAGAAAAATGCTGATTCAATGGGATATCAGCATCATATATTACACTAATATCTCTCATCGGGATATCATGGGAATATATGACTCATGGGGATCTGGGCCTGGCCGACAACCGTGGGAGTTCGCAGGTAGCGCCGACTGTCCATGGGAGGATCATCCCGATCGAGGTTGTGGAACAGTATCAACCATACTTATCTGTTGGGATTATTATTCCCAATATATGGAAAAATAAAAAATCAAACCGCCAGCCATTTATGCTATTTATAGATGGGACAACAGTTGACGGACTTCCTGACCGTCCGAGTTATTAACCACTTCATGGTTTTTCCATGGCTTTTCCACATTCATGTTTGCTGGATGCGAGATCTACAAACAGCGTAACTGGTTGCAGAACCGGCGGTTGACCTTCAAGTTATTCCGGGCAATCATCATTCTCTGGAAGTGGGTACTGCGTGAACATCATCCTTAGATGAGCCATCGAGATATATAACTGGTTAGCCCCTTATACATGGGTTGTAGTGGGTCATTTCTTCCACAAAAAACCAGTCAACTAACATCTATACCATATCCTATCATATTGTTGGTAGTTGTTGGCTGCATAAGTTCTATATCCATTAAATTGTTGGCGCTATAGACTCATATAAATGCGTGTTTCTCCCACATCTATTTTAAGCTCAGGCTGCGGAAATCATCTTCTACAAATACCGAAGCTGATCCTGAACTGCAGAGCAGTCACCACCAGAGCGTGGCTCACCCCAGGTAACGACGGATCCATTGGCCAAGATCGCACCAAATGCCGACACCGTGGCTTGAATTTGTTGCACATTCTTGAGCTGATCCTGAACTGCAGAGCAGTCACCACCAGAAGGTGGCTCACCCCAGGTAACGACGGATCCATTGGCTAAGATCGCAGCAAATGCCCAAGCCGTGGCTTGAATTTGCTGCACATTCTTGAGCTGATCCTGAACTGCAGAGCAGTCACCACCAGAGCGTGGCTCACCCCAGGTAACGACGGATCCATTGGCCAAGATCGCACCAAATGCCGAAACCGTGGCTTGAATTTGTTGCACATTCTTGAGCTGATTCTGAACTGCAGAGCAGTCACCACCAGAAGGTGGCTCACCCCAGGTAACGACGGATCCATTGGCTAAGATCGCAGCAAATGCCCAAGCCGTGGCTTGAATTTGCTGCACATTCTTGAGCTGATCCTGAACTGCAGAGCAGTCACCACCAAAGCGTGGATCACCCCAGGTAACGACGGATCCATCGGCCAGGATGGCAGCAAATGCCCCATTCGTGGCTTGAATTTGTTGCACATTCTTGAGCTGATCCTGAACTGCAGAGCAGTCACCACCAAAGCGTGGATCACCCCAGGCAACGACGGATCCATTGGCCAAGATCGCAGCAAATGCCATAACCGTGGCTTGAATTTGTTGCACATTCTTGAGCTGATCCTGAACTGGAGAGCAGTCACCACCATAGTCTGGATCACCCCAGGTAACGACGGATCCATTGGCCAAGATCGCGGCAAATGCCCCAGATGTGGCTTGAATTTGTTGCACATTCTTGAGCTGATCCTGAACTGCAGAGCAGTCACCACCGCGGCGTGGATCACCCCAGCTAACGATGGATCCATTGGCCAAGATCGCAGCAAATGCCTGATCAGCGGCTTGAATTTGTTGCACATTCTTGAGCTGATCCTGAACTGCAGAGCAGTCACCACCATAGTCTGGATCACCCCAGGTAACGACGGATCCATTGGCCAAGATCGCGGCAAATGCCCCAGATGTGGCTTGAATTTGTTGCACATTCTTGAGCTGATCCTGAACTGCAGAGCAGTCACCACCAGAGCGTGGCTCACCCCAGGTAACGACGGATCCATTGGCCAAGATCGCACCAAATGCCGAAACCGTGGCTTGAATTTGTTGCACATTCTTGAGCTGATCCTGAACTGCAGAGCAGTCCCCACCTGCGCGTGGGCTACCCCAGGTCACCACTCTGTTACTTCCACTGCACCACAGAGCAAAAGCCTGAGTTGTTGCACTTAAGCTTGCGCGCTGTGCCACTGCAGTTATGTTCTCTCCGTCTTGCACCCCTGCAGCTTGCAAAGAGTCCTCAGGGTTGGTCAGAACATGCCCCTCGAAAGTGATGAGTTTGAGGAAACCCTTTCCGAAAGTTTTCTGGGACAGAAGTCTCAAGTCCCCCACTTTGGAGTGTTCAGGAAGTTGCAGAGTTTCTCCAGAACCACTCGGGAACGACACATTTACTTGAAGCATTGGAAGAGATATTCAAAATCACAAGAATTCCATTCAAACTCGCTTGAACCCCAGGTGCCAGCAAGAAGCTGCACATGACCCGGTGAATTCATGGCTGCCATGGTTTTTTTGGCTTCGTGCATGGGTTTGGTTAACTATCCATGATGTTATCCACTATCCGTAAATCTCATGTGAAAAAATAGCTGGATAGTGAACTCCTCGCTAGAAATAGTTGAAAAGGAGATACATCAAAAGCAACCGTTCACCCATGGGCCCACTGCATGGGTATTCATATGAGAACAGCAGCTACGACAACCCGACGAAAATCATGAAATCTGTTGTCTATCTAAATAATTATGCATGTATATATATATGCAGTTGTTGAACATATCATATCTATAGATCTATATGATATCATTATACATCAGTATAGATACTATATCAGTATATTATAACTAATTATTATATCGTTGTATCTTGTCAACACACACCTCTTTTGAGACCTTTTCCAAGTCCGGGAAATTCGCCCCGGCCCAGCCTGTCACATTGGTGTGATAGATGTGCGTGACATCCTGAGGGACTGGTGGCACGGTGGGCCATGGCCGGCCATGGCTGGTGACGAGTGCTTCGTGCCCCAAAGCTGGGTGGATGTCATAGGGGGAACCCACCAGTTATCACAACAGGCCTGTTGATAAGACCCAGTTACTACTCCAGTTGCAGTTTTGGGTGCAAGATGAGTGAACTAACCAGTTGTGCGTTCCCCAGGCCATTATAATGGCTTGATCTTTTTCCCATTCAAACAAACCACATTTTCCCATCTTGTCCTATGGGAAAACCCATGACTTTCCCATGAACAATCTTCCATTCATGGGGAAAAATCCCAGCTCGCCACGGTTAGGTGCACCTTTTGGTGGGATGAAAACTACGGTCTGTGGCAGGTTTGAACCTATAGTTGGCTATAGTTGGCATTTAGTTGACTATGGTTTTTGTTGATGATCTATCGAACTAGTTCATGGGCTTATAAACCAACAAACATAATTTGGGGGGCGCCACCTTGTATAGTTGGCTTATAAGTTATAAACTAACTATGAAAACTGTAGTTATATATTGGTGAACATAACATGAACTTTAGTTTTATGATGTTTTATGGTAGATATAATATCTATCGTGAAGGGGGCTTAAAAACCAAGAGCTCCATCATTGGGGGGTGCCATCTTCTACGTGTCCTGGCATCTCGGGATTCCAATAGGAACAGCAAAAGATGTGAGTGGCAACAGCAAAAGACGGGCTACAAAAAGATTTCATGTCCGCATATGTTTGCTATTTCTGAGGGGAGCCAATTTGTGTTACAAAAGATCTGGACTTGAGGCTTCCATCGACTGTCCTGTCCAACCACGAAACACCTTTTGGATGGCTGCCGCGGCCTCGCTTGACGTAGATTCCTCCGCATAGCTTCTCTTTTCTGATTGACTCAACATTTCTGCCACATTTAATTTCTCTCTTCTGTTTAAACTATCGCCTGTGCTGCGGGTAAACAGCTTTTCTGTAAACAGCTGATCCCAAACAGAGTCATCAACCGGTTGTAGTTAACGCATGGACATGGTATCCCAGTCGCATGGTCACTTTTGGGTAGGGATGGCCATGGCTATTCCCAAAGGTTTTACAGCAGGAGACCGATAAGCGGCGAGCATGGTTAGCCATGGCGAGCCAAGTCAAAAAAAAACTGGTCAAAAAAATACTATCCCCTGCAATGTGATGCGCAGTTGTAAGTTGGTTTAGATTCACCCCATGAATACTAGTTCGTTATTTGCGTACCATGTTTACCATAGTGACATTGGAGTTATGTTCACCAACTGAATGCTATCATAAATCAGCTATAAATCCCATGAAATCACCATTTTCCCGTGTTTTTCCTATGCTTTTTCCATAGTTACAAGCGAAAAGAATTCACCAGTGAAATTCACAACCGCCCATCCCTCACGGATCGAGTATCTGAGACCGTGTTGCATTGGCCACATCGGACATACCTCGGGGACGGATCTTGTGGTGATCTGAGATATCTGAAGATGGGGTTTTCACCACTGCCATACACCTACAACTTCGAGGGTTTATACAACCCATCCACCTATTTCTGAAAAAATTTGATGATTCAATGGTTGGTTTATGGCAGGTACAAAAAATCACCCCACATGGAATTTCATCGAATCCCTTCATCTTCTGGGATCCTTTCCGGACTGAAGTGGCGCACCAAAGGACAGGAAGGACAGGTTCAAATAGCTACAAGTCGTGGGGCCCCGTTGACGATAGCGTTCAGTTGGAGGCCACATAACTCCAATTTCTCTTTGGTTTACACACATTATTATAGTTTTCATGGGGTTTATAAGCCAACAAACATAACGTTTGGCGGCCCCACAT